TTCGATGTTGTCTGCCTCGTGATCCTGTGTGTTATTGAGATGTAAGAAGTGGCGTTGTGACAAACTCTCCTCGGGGGATGTGGCGTGTAAACACCAATCATTTGGCAGATGCGCTGTGAGCAAATTGGCAGTGTTTTCCCCGCGGCCAAGCCACACGCCATTATCAGGATTGAGACTAATCGTGTGCCGTCTCCCATATGAGGAGCAATTAATTTACACCAAATCAAACTGCAAGATAACAGAGTGCGGAGTGGAAGACGTAGAGGAGATTGAGTGATGGAGAGGAGAAACGGGACCGGTTGATGAAGGAGAGAGAAGATGAGGTACAAGAACTTGAGATACATTTTCTTCGAGATCTAAACACACTGACAAATAAATACGGAATTCAGAGTCGCTGTTCAGATTTAGACATGTTTTCAACTGGGATAAACTTTCTTCATAATAGAGAGAAGAATAAGTGAGAGTCCGGACAGGGAACTGGAGTACAGAAGCAGGAGAAAATTGACTTAAGAGGGCGTCCTGTGAAGCAGTCTAACATTTATAAATGTACTTCCACAAAGATGTGACACCATGATAGTTTTACACTATCTGTATTTCTGGAAAGATGACACTTACAAGGAATCATTAATGTGAGGCTTTTCTCATTCTCACCTCAATCCAGTCTTGAGGCATTGTGGAGAGCCCACACAGCCAGACACCGAGCCATTATTTCCTGTCTGATTGCTCTGCGGCCAGTGCGATTAAGGAAGAAGACTAAAAGGTAATTTTTCACGATGATGGACAGAAGGAGAAAGAGAAGTAGAGCCGGTCTCTGTTTAATCTCCTGCAGATGGAGGGAGTGAGGGAGGGACAGCAGCCAGAGGAGGGAAGCCATCATTTTCAGGGATACAGCACCTAAATTAATCGCCCGGCCTGATGGCCTTTTGGATAAGATAAGTAGCATTATAATAAGGAAGGCCATATAAAAGAGCAGACGGAGCTGACAAGCCAAGGCAGACTGACTATTCAATGTTTTTCTTTCTCTCACTGTTGAGATGGGCCATTTTACCCTCTTTTTTTTTATTCCAGTGAAATAGTTTTACCCCATTGTAGAGCCGTAAAGACCGACACAGTAGGAAATTAAGAAAGTGAAAGCTACTTATAGAAAGCAGTAAAGCCAGGGAAACACAGAGACTCTGCAGAGCTCTGGATACAGGAAAAAGGATATTGAAAGCTCTTGAAATTCATCACCTTTTCACAGGAAAGCCAGGATGTGTGCATCAGTCTAAGAGGTGATCACAACTTCACAGAGGAAGTGTAGCTCAGGTGTTTGTCAACTTTGAGTAAGATTTATTTCTAAAATTAATAAATGCCAGAGAGGATCTACAACGATAAAAATATTAGCACTTACAGTTATGATGACACTTTTTTTTTTTAAATCTAGAAATGGCCTTTTATTTCTTCTTATTTCTACTTTTTAATCTTTGACTCTCATGACTTTGATACATGTGATACACAGAAACTTATAGCTGAAAATGTCTCTGTGAATTATCATCTGGACCAGGGGTGGACAACCATGTGCCATGGAGGGGCAAGAGGCTGCAGGTTTTCTTTCCAACCCAAAATTCCACCAGTTGATTTCACTGATTGCCTTACCTCCAAGCAGAGAGCAAGGACTAATCAGTGAAATCACCTGGTGGAGTTTTGGGTTGGAAAGAAAACCTGCAGCCTCTTGGCCCTCCATGACACATGGTTGTCCACCCCTGATCTGAACGATCAGTTTTAACTTAAAAGTTCCCATAAGTCTGTTTACATTAGGGCCCGACCGATTTATCGGCGAGCCAATTAAATCGGCCAATTTTAGCCCGTTTGAGGCTAATCGGTGATCGGCCAAAACTCACAGATTTTCAGCCGAAAATTTCAGAAATAAAATGCGGAGAAAAAGATTTGGTTTCACTTCGAAAATGTTCCGTCATTTGAAAAGTTCCCCGACTTATCCTGTAGATGGCGCAGCGACCTCATGACAATCTTCATCTACTAACTACCTCACAGCACAGCAGAGTGACGGATCTGAAGCAGGCAGCTCAGGGACGCAGGGAGGAGAGTGGTCCACCTCAATGGTAAATAAACCAGTTTGTGAAATACACAATAAGTCAACAAGTTTCAGTTCAAATCACTTCACGATGTTCCCCGCTGCGCTGGTCTCGGTCACGCCGAGTTAGCGGTGAAGCACCATGTAATATGCAAGCTAAAGTTAGAGTTAGCCATCTGCTATTAGCCTTGCTACCCTGTTAGCCGTGCCAGTAACGGTAGAATAACCAACAGTACAAATTATGTGATCGAGCTACTTCTCTTACTGAGGCAGCTGCATGTCTCCAGATGAGACCGGACCGGAAATGAGTAACGTGAGTGAAGACCAGAGGTAGAAAACGCCTTTCTGGTCCAAGTTTGATCAGTCAGTCTTCCTGTCGGCGTGAAGAGCAGTAGCCTACAGTATATAGTATACTGTAGGGAAATCTACAGTATACTATATATTTTTATAACTTCATAAAAAAATCGGCCAATTAATTGGTAATTGGTATTGGCATCGTCCCCCAAAAATCCATATCGGTCGGGCCCTAGTTTACATGTTATAAAACCCAGTAAAGAAGCAACTAAAATGAAATGAGACAGTCTGATCTGCAAAAGTGTTCCCTGTTTTGTCATCAGCTTCTCCCACTCTAACCCTTGTGACAGAAAATGCTGCTGTCCTGTCTTGTAGATACCATAATCTGGAGTTTCAAGCCTACATGAACTTTTTTAAACTTTGTATCCCTGCCCATATAATTGAGCTGACATGGAATACATTTAAAAGTGTACTTTACGGCCATTTCATACTCTGCCATCTTTGTTAAACTGGCATGCAGTGAATTCTGGGATCGACGCAGGTGTTGACAGCATTTGAAAGAGCCCTCAAAACCAGACAGCCCTCACATCTGGTTTGTAATCCGTCTTGAAATGCATTTCTTCCCTGAATATAGACACAGCTACAAAGTTTCTTAGATCCTTGCTGAACGTCTTGTAAATACTGTAAACATTAAGTACTCATAACAGCTTTCAAAATGAACTTTCAAACAGACAGAGTAGCATCAGTCAAGTCAGTTTCCTCTCATAAGAAGGATCTGTGATTGATTATAGGCCTGTACATCAGTATTTGTTGTACTCAGCACCATCTTTAACTAAATATGCTTGATATCAGCTCTGTTTTGTTAATACATTAATATCTTTCACCATCAACAGATACCAACATCTTTCCTCTCAGTGCTGTCCTGGCACTTTAACCAGAGACAGAGGTTTTATCAGCTTGTTATGTCAATCTCTGCCACCCCCCGCTTTGAAGTTTTGGTGCATGCACACGTCTGTTTAAGCACTTGCGCCTATCAGCGCACTCTTGAATAGAGTCTGTCGGCTCTGTTAGGGTTCTAGTTTTGCCTCCACTGAGTGATTGTGTGTGTGCGTTTCCCACTGCGCAAACATGTTAGTGCGTCTGTTCTCACAGTGGGCAAACAGCGAGGGGGGCTCATGAGTGGTGTTAATGGGGAGGAGGAGGAGCAGGGGAAAGGGGAAATTGGGGAGGTGGCACAGGAGGTGAGAGGCGGGATGGGGGGTTATAATTTAATGGGGAGCAAGACTTGCATCAGTGTTTAACGCAGGTGCTGGTGTTTGTGTTCGTCATATGAAAGCAGGAGTGTGTATACATCTCTGCGTGGGTGCATGGAGGTGTTTTTGTGTGTGTAAGGGGGCCACAGGGCAACCTCCGAGAAACTCCACTAATTGCGACCACTGGGTTTTACCAGAGGGTCTTCTCTGGCTAATATCATTAGCTAATCTGCTGTGTGTTGTCCCCCTTGCCCTCTCTGTCAGAGCGCCCCGCTTTACTAGCACAACCAGAGGCATCCACCCCCCCCCTCCCAAAATAAAAAAACCCACTTACACCCCACCATGCCTGCTTCCCAAAGCCCAACACAGACTGCTGAGTCCGGGTTTGTGCTGCTGGAAGGGCCCTGCATCTGGGCCCCACTGACAAAGAAGATTAATACCTCAGCCGCACACACATACACAAACACACGCAGCATACACATACACACACAAGCATGGGCACACTCGTATGAGTTCGCGCCCACGCAGCAAGATACCCTCACAGATCGCCTTCAAATACACACAAACACACACATTCCAACCTCAATCAAACCAAAAACACTGGTGCGTCCTACCCTCCCTCCTTCATCCTGCCTCCCTCTATCTCCAGGCTTTGGACCACTCCAAGTCTTCCTCATTTCCCCCCCATACACTCCCCCTCCAACCCCTCACCCCACTTTAAATAGAATCTCCAGGCCACAGAAAAACAACTTTCTGCTGATGCGACTACTCCTTCATCCTGCCCATCCTTCCCCTCTCTTCCTCCCAGTCCCATCGCACACCTATGGTTGTAGAGAGCCCAGCTGAGTAGGACCCCTGAGCTCAGGGTAAATGCCCTGAGCTCTGATGCAGGCGTTGGTTGTGAGTGGGTTGCAGTTTGCTCCTGGTGCCACTTGTTAAGAGTAGGGGGGGATTCCTTTGAGGCGAACACCTCATTTCAACGCAGCTGCACCTAACTTGCCCACAAGTTTAAAGTGGTCATTCGTTGGAGATGCACAAAAGTTCAATGAATCAGCAAAGTTTAAATGAAGGTAGGCGGGGTTTTTTGGGGGGAAAGGACAGTGGACGGACTAAGAAACAGGTAAACAGAGCGACACGGGGAGAAAGAAGCCACAGACTGAAAGCAGACCCAGGCTGGCCACTTGGTGGTTGCGCGTAAATAGCTAATCCGGTTGTGCCAAAAATTAAGGAAAGATTCTCACAGCAAAAACAGTTCTTAATAAATGCGATAAACTAATGTAAATAATGACATGCAAAATACATTTCTAGTTTCAAGAACCGTAAAAGTGCATACCTCTAGATGATGTCAACTGTTTCTGAAAAGAGAGGAGGGTTATTTCCAGATGGGACGTTTTCTCCACCTCACCTCTGTGTTCATAGTGGAAACTCCCCGGCATTCCCCCCTCGGGTGCCGCCCTGTATGTGGTTTGGCTCGAGGGAGAGAGGTGAGAGGGGTATCAAAAGGACTAAAGGTATTTGCTCAACCTATTTTTTTTTAGTATATGCATCTGCGACGACAAGCATGACTCAAGCACCACACCTGTCACTGGACCATACACACACCCCTAGATGCCAAATTAATTTGCAATCAACTGAGAAACAAAGTAAAGAGGAAGAGGAAAGAGAGAGACGTGTGAACGGGAAAGTATCCGATCATATAGCAAAGAATCTGATAAAAAACAAGGATCACTTAGGCAGGGACTACTCTGGCACATCTCTCCACAGCTAAATGCTTCCCTGTGTCAGCACATTGGCTGCTTGTCAAAGAACAGACGGAGAGAGCGGCAGAGAGACAGAGACAGAAACACCAACCGGCAGAGGAGGAAGCAAGAATATCTGCAGAGAAACCAAAGACGGAACTCGAGAAGCTGGAGCCCTGATGAGGATGACGACACGACCGCTCATCCACCAAGACTGGAATTGGTGATACAGGTAAGGCTACACGGAGCAGCACAAACTCAAACAACCAGAACACATCTGGAAAGGATAGAGGTAAATGCTGAGTCTTTGAATCAATGACTATCTAAAGAATTCAGGTTTCATATTGAATATAAAGAGAGAGGGACAAGCAGCATGCACGTCAAACAGCACACACATAGGCTGACACAAACCATGGCCTAAGTGATTAAGAACACACACACACACGCACACACACACACACACACACACACACACACAGGGTAAATGCTGGTGCAGTCTTGACGTAATTTTTCTCATTTCCTTTTATTAAAATCAAAGAAAAATTAACTATCATCTTAAATGTCATTCAAAAGAAATTCAAGTCTCAGCTCATTCATTCATTTCTTTAAAAACAAACTAATTCATCACACAAAAGACTTTGACTGACTCTTGATTAAAATGCCTACATCTGTTTTTCATGTGTTTTAACTCCTGTATCTTCTTTTCTTTTTTTTTCTTTTTTTTTTAATCAACATCCTGTGTTTCCTCTTTCAGTTTCATTTATGTGTGACTCACGCACCGGAGAGAGTTTACACGGAAATAGCAGCAAAAGTGGTTTAACTGATTCGATATTCAGCCTTATAGCTTCCACGGAAATATATCAAAATGTCTTGGAGACTGTGTGGGGGGAAAAGCAGAGAAAATATAGGTAATATCATTTAAACACAAATAATAAAAGACTTTTTCCATGTAATTTTACCATGAGTCATATTTCAATATCAGAATACAAAGGGGGAGTATTTGTGAGCATTATAAAAATGAATAACTACAGTGGGAAGTGTCATGATCAAACTTGTAATGTTGTTTGGGGTTTATTGTAGGTGTATTCTTCCACTCTCTTCGCCCTGTCGGACCGGCATTCCATGTCCTTATAAATAATTCATTTTTTAATCTGATTTCCCAGAGCGATTCTCAGTGTGTTAGTCACATATTCAATAACGGCGCGCGGTGAATAATCTGGCTCTGTGTTTCGCTGATTTTCCCCCCCATGTTCTGCGCGTGTGTGTGTGGCGAGGGGAGGGGGGCGTCGGAGTCTGAAAGTGACTACAGAGGAGGAGAAGAGAGGAGTCAGGTGCATCATCAGTCAACATCCCTACAGGTTGACAATGAACAGATGCATTTCTACTACAAAGCCATGTTTAGGATTACTTGTCACCGTCATCTGCAGCCTGAGCGTCAGCGCTGTCTCACAGACGCACATATAGAAGGTTTGCTCAAACAATCCCTCAATCGACAACAAAATCCATGTTATTATCTGAGTAAAAAAATAGATTAAAATATTGGGAATCAAATGTATATTTCTTTGAATGCATTTTAAGTCATCTATTTCTATTTTTCTCAAATTTTATTTTGTAAAACAGATAAAACAAATGAATGAATTAGTTTGCACAGTAACATATTACTGCAAAAATACAGGAAGTTATAAATGGTGTGTTTTTTATAACATAGTTGATAACAAAAAACTTGACAATTGCAGTTTAACAGTATTATACAGAATTTTTGAAGTTTGAGACTGCCCCTCTGATAAGGGACATGCCACATCCTGCCCAACCATCTCAACATATTCAGCTGCAAAGAAAGAAGAAAACAGGAATATGTGGTTATAGTTGACCAACATAAGATGTGTTTTCATGTAAATTATTTAGATCTCTGGATTTGGGGTCACTTTAAGTGCTTTCAGAAAATGATTCAAAGCTGGAAAACAAGAAATGACTTACAGTGGAATTCAATTTCAAGAGGAATTTTCCTGCAAAATATGGGGCAAACATTCCAGGTCAAAAAAGTAGGCCTATGTACTTCATGCCTATTTTTTTTAAAATACCACAAACTTGGGAGTATGACACAACAGTTCCAAGTGGTGAAGGAGTGGAAATGCTGCTCTGTACCGTGCCACTGCCCTTAATGCCCTAGGCGCTGTGTTTTTCCCCAGCCACACAGTCTGGCCACAAACACACACAAACAAGCAACTACAGTTCACCAAGACCTCACAACACAGCAGACGCCTGTTTCAATATATTTCTCCCTTTTGAAAAATATGTATCTAATTTACGATCATACTAATATAATAATTTTGCAGCCACAGGCGAGGGAAGCCGGTTTTCCCCCCATCGAGACACACAGACACATTTTTAGCAATTCACTCGGAACAGCTGGACCTGCATTTGTATTTCACAGTTCCTACTATGTTGCGTCTTAAAAGCTGAGAGCCCGGCACTTACACTTAAACTTCTGTGGTCAACTTGGGCATAGAGGTGTCAATGATGTGTTGTACTAAGTCTGGGCTCAAATGTGAGTGTTTTTTTGTTTTTTTTTGTACTACAAAGACTACAAGTCTTTGTAAATAAGGGGTAGTATGAACTGCATTGTTATGGTTAAACAAGTTTAGAGAAATAACATGATTTTTTTTCCTTTATGAGGACTTTTATTTATTATCTGAAGTGTAGCATTGACTGCTGAGGCTTGTGAGCTTGCTCAGATTTCTTTTACATAACATTAAAAATTAAACCTATGTTTAAAAAAATAGACTAAAAATAGAATAACCAAGGATATAAACTGGCATCCACCAAGCGCCAAATGCAGAAAAATTTTTCCATCAGGGGAGTACACTTCAGGTCTGTTTGCCTCATAATAGCTGAATGTTTGTACTAAATAGTCAACACATTAAGCTGCAGCTTCTTTACCACTCCTCAACTGTCTGCATGTCAGAGCTTAGCAGGGATGCATAAACATATGCATGCAAACCCATGCACATCAACACCATGCACTCCTGTTCACCACACTGGATGACAGCTACTCTGCTTAAACAGTTGTCAGGATTAAGACTTTGTGACTGGGCAACTAGATAAAGGTCAATTTTAGTTTCTATGAATCTATAAGTGGCTTTAAAATGTTTTTTTCCCCTCCTAAGAAATGACTCGAGTAAGTACACTTTCTGCTCATTCAGCCCCTCACACTCGTCACCGTGATGATGAGCACAAACACCAAAGGTCACAGGTTACAACTGTTTGAGTTTACGGCACACAACTAATCGCAGTTATAAAAGAATTAAAACTCAGTGTGATCCGAGGCTTTTGATGGCTGTTTAAAGTATCCCAATATTTCAGCATATAGATATTTTTCTAACATCCTAATCTTAAAAAAGGCAAAACTGACAGCAGCAGGTTCATACGTCTACAAACAGGATTTTCAGACACTGTTTTTCGTGTGTCAAAACTGACATGATGTATTTAAAATCTTTTGTATTGGTGCGTCTAAATGTGGGGAACATCAACAGAGAAAGACAAAAGGTGCATAAATAAAGACAGAATTAATTCATCTTACTAATTTTAAATGCGCCCAATAAAAACTAACGCAACATCTTTTCAAACAACTAAGTAGTTAATGTCCACTCAGCAAGTTTGTTCATATTTATGGCACTAAGTAACTTAATGGAGGTGATGTACCAAACGTTTTAAAAAACTTTTATTTATTAACTCTATCATCATGCAGTACTTTGTAACTAAGAAACTTCACCTCTGACCGTTCTGTGACAAAAACAGGGTGACGGAGTTAATGATAAAATGGGGGCTTACGGCAGGAGGTGGTTTGATGGTAATGACAGAAAAAAAAGAGGACTGACTCGTGGCTTTGAACTGGATTGCTCTCTGGACGGCGGGTGCATAACATTTCCAAATGTGCATGCACGCAAACACACACCCACACACACACTCAAGTGTACAGGGGTTCAAAGCAGTATGAAACCTCAACAGTTGGCTGGATAAACCTTGAGCACCCCCTAGTGTTGCTTCTCCATAATCCACAAGGTCACAATACTCACTGCATATCCTGTATGTTTATATTTTTGGACAATAACAAGCAAATACTGTCATACATGTTAGTGCATAAACATAAGAAAGTTGTTAGTCACTTTTTTGATTACACTATTTATTAAAAAATACAGTTTTCTGTGTCATATCTAAAAGATGAAAGTCAAACTTTTTGAGCATGTTTGAGCATGGTACCACAAAAGTGCCAGAGATATTTTAGATATTTTTTAACCTTCTATGCGACTTTTTTTTTCTGTGTGAATCCTCCGAGATCTGATTTCTTTCAGCACTTCCCCTTATTTGTAGGCAATAAAATTCAAATAAATCAGTGGCTCACAGCACCCTAGATGGAGGCTAACCCGTGGTTCTCCTCTCAGGCGAAGATCCCACTTTGGCTTTGGAGGGTTGAGCGAGAAGCGAGGCCTTGCCCACCGCCCAAAGCAAAACCTTGGCTTTAGCCTAATGCGTGTTTCCATCCAGGCATCCACCATGTAAATGTTTGTGATTAAAAAGGGAGATATGAGAGCCGCCGCGTTTCTGCAATCTTGCACATCCTAATTTGGTACTAGGGGAGTTAACACACCTGCCAGCTTCCTGCTGACGAGGGTAATTTTTTTTTTTTTCTTCCGACTGTTGTTGTTTATGCCGTCAGTTTAAGGAGAGACGGAGACGGTGAGAACGAGAGAGAGGTCAGAACAAAATCAGACACATAGGAAATACACTGTACACATACACAGATCCCGGGCTGCTGCCAATAACAGGCCATCTGAAAATGTGAAAATGTTGACGGCTTCATGATTGATGGTGGTTATTTGTGGCTTTCTAACCCTCCTCTTTCACCCCTGCTTCTACCGGCCCCTCCCTCTCCTTCTTCGTCTTCCTCCTCATCTTTATTTTTTCGTTGCACCTCTCCTCCCCCAGTTCCAGACAACGTGAACATGATTAATAAGTAAGTGGCCCTCTGTCCATCACACCTGCATGTCTGACATTTTTTAAAAAACCAAGCTGTGAGGAGGGGGGAGTATGTCAAACTCAGGACACAGACCTGAAAAGATCATTTGTAGATCAGGGAAATTGTCTAGTAAAATATCCTCTTTAAACTATTTTTTGACTATATTCCTGGGGCAAAAACAATGCAAACACTTTAGCGCGTGTGTGTCGTGTGTGAAGAAGCAGATACGTCTATATTTAGATGTTTGTGAGGGGACAGATGTATAAATAAAGATGTGAATACAGCGACAAATGAATAAGTGGCAGTGTAGTTCTCGGTGTCTGCTATTACTGCCACAGTGCCAGCTCCCCATCCATCACTTGCTAACACTGTGTCTGAGTGAGTGTGTGTGAGAGTGTGTGTGTCTGGAGGAGCGAGGAGGAGGGATAGGAAGGAGGGTAGAGAAAGAGGAGAGGACATCAGAGGCCACAGTGCAAGTTCCTCATCCATCATTTTGTAAGACCAAACTTCAGACGCGCAGGAAAGGCAGAGAAGAGATGTTTTTTCAGAATGATTCTCCGCTTCCTCTCTGCTTTTTCCTCAAGTAATCAATGAGCCACAGCGGTGCCTGCGATGTTTCTACAGCAGAGCCAGGAATTCCTCTGTTTCTTTGACTCACCGTCTTTGGCCGGCGATCACCCCCTTGACTCCTTGACTCGCTTCTCTTTTCTGCCATTGCCCGGGCTGCAGACGGACACGAGGGAGAGACAGAGAGAGAATGAGAGGGGAGACAAGACAGGACAGGGCCTTTAGTCTAGAGATCATTACCTTTACATTATTAATGTATGACCAAACCACAAAGGACATTCACAGACGATGAGGGGGAGCGACTGCTTCTCTGTTCTCTACACTGAAACCTATAGGGAAGATGGACTTTTTAAGTAAGGCTGTGTGCCCACATACTGTATGATCAACATGGAACTATGTCTGCTCAGATCTGAAAGCATGGTCGCAATGTATGTTTGGATACATTTCAAAAACTTGCATAAATGATTTTGGCTCTAAATTCATTTCACACGTTAAAAAAACTTAAGTTTCATCTCATATTTCTAACATTGAAAAAAAACTTAATTATACGGGTACATGTGTGTGAATAGGCAATGCTTGGACCGATGACGCATCCTCCTAATTATGGCACCTTCTTATAAGAAACAGCTGTTACAAAGTGTATCAGCATTTAAAAGACATTTTTGCTGTTTATGAGTGTGACCTGCTTTCAATCTGGTCAATATTTTTTGCCAATTTGTGAGTAAGATCCTGATCTTGAATTTGGACCCAATTGTTATGAATATTTCTTTGCTGATGCGACAAAATTTCCACAATTTTTATATAAATAATGCCAATATCCTTCCCCATAATTCTTGAAAAAAACTACCACAGAAAAAAAAACCATAACAAAGGAAATAAATATCACTTATATTAGTGTCCTCTTTAAAGCAAATTTAAAGCGAATGAATATGGACGCCAATCTGTGCGTGTGTCTGTATCTATTTGAAAGGCATATAAGCAGGATTGGCAGGTACTCGTACAAGGCTGAGGGCAGAATTAAGGAGTGTGCTGTGTGTTTCATTAAATGCTCAATATATCTTGTGTTTCTGGATCATTTAAGCCCCATTACAGAACAGTGGCACCGCTTTAATTTCTAAAGTGCCTTTCAAAAGGCATCACCTCAGGCACTTATTCCTACTCTCACTCACTCTCATATACATACACATACATTTGCAAGTATACACGTGTGAAATCATGCACTCATTCGGATGCACACAGATGCAAATGTGCAAAAGTGCAGGTGACAACACACCTGCACTTACACTCACGCATACAACAACAAAAAAAAGAGCAAACACAAAGCCTTTATGTTTTTTTTCTACATCTGTTTCCTCTCTGCTCTCACATTCAGAGCTTTTTTTTCTCGGTTGTTTTGTACACTGTGTCTGCTTTTGTCCCTCTGTGTGTCTTTCTGTTTAACAGATGACAGAAGCCTTGCAGAGGCCGAGGCTGTCTTGGCTATCAGACCCATTTAACTTGCCAGTTTGGCCAGAGAATGAACCCCGGGACTAACCAGAGCCAAGGTCAGATTCTCAGAGAGAGTGAGTGTCCGTGTGTGTCTTTGTGTGTGTGTGTGCGTACACGGGAATGAATTCATCCATTTAGCCTGAGGTGTTAGTGCTGATGAAGACATGCAAGCTTGGTTACAGTATCCTCACAATACTAAACTTTACAGGAAAAAAAAGCTCTTCTATGCATTTAAAAATTTGACTTGAGTGCCTGTATGTAAAGGTATGTGAGAAAAGTGTGCTGAGCCAGCTGCTCACTGGAAGGAGGTGGAGGTAAGTTGAGTGTTGTTCTGAGCAATTGATACATTGCAAATAGAGTGGGCTTCCTGTCCGGGTTTTGTGGCTAAGGTGCTAAACGCTTCAGGAAACCAGATACACCTGCACATCCTCTAAAGAGATAGAGGGACCGGGTAGGGGAAGGTGGAGGGGAAGATGCGGGATGCTCGGAAAAGAGGCAAAAGAAAGAGAGTAAGTGCAAAACTCTGAGAGAACTCGGTTTTAACTTTGTCGAATTACCTGTAATCTGAGTTTACTCCAACAGTTTGCACTTGAGAAGCATTGATGGCCATTTGAAATCAAAGAAGGGTTCATTTCTCAGAGAATGCCTTTGTCGTTTGTTCTCCTCCTCCTCTCTAATGAGATGGAATGTGGCTAAATTAGCAGCTGAGAGGCAAAGCTTCATTTACAAGACAATCAAATGATCCTTTACAAAACACACTCAATATGCATTAGATGTGGGCTTTGTGAATATAGGATGGCCTCCTTATGCACTCAAATAGGGAGGGGGGTTGTGTTTGGATGTTGCGCCGTGGTGAAAATGCCAAACTGAAATCATCCATCACAGTGCAATAAAAAGGCCTGCAGCGCTCTGAGTGGGTAAGAGGAGTGAGATGTTTGTATTGGCCCACTGGGTTTCCCTCTGTGAAGGAGGGAATGTGTAAATGAACGTGTAAATGTTAAAAAATGTTCTTTTTATTAGACGAATTGCATCATTAAATCACATTATAAAAACAAAAAATGCACCATTAATTTCCTCCCCAAACAGCAGTAAGTACATGTCTCTCTGTCCCTGTGCCCATCTCTGTTTAGCCCCATGGGGTGGCAATTCCAGCGCTATTTCACTCTATTATACAGATCAATCAGGTCGGGGAGGTTCGTGAACACATGTTGGAAGCAAGATTGCGAAAACCATCGCCCTCTTAATTTGGACGGGGCTTGTTTCTCTCCCTTTAACCAAACAGAAGTCCCTGCAAACAGGTAGTGTCTCCTTTCCACTTTCTGCCCTTCCTCCATCAGAACACAAAAGGTAGCATGAATAATAGATAAGAGAGGTGATGAGATCAATCAGAGGCTATCAGTCTGGGAGATAGGAGTGGACAGAGTGGGACGTAGATCTGCACTGGACCAGAGCAGCAGATCTGCTGTCAGAGGGTGCAGCAAGAGGTGGAGATAAGTGCTCTGTAGACAAGGGGGCAGCTCACACTGAGAGGCTTTTTTTTTTTTTCTTTTTAGAAATTATGTACGGGGAAGAATGAAGATGACAGGAAAATGCTAGAGGCCCCGAAACATCTCATCATAAACCTGCACCCACACTCATCCCTGCATGCATTGACCTCCTGCACCTCTGCATCACACATTCTCACATCTGTGACAATGCCACCGCAGCATGACAAATGCAAACAAAAGGTTCACCTATTCATCACTGTAGCGGGGAGGGGCGGGGCTAATTATACAACTGTGAAAATTATGACTCTCTGTTGTTTTGTTTGTCCTCTAAGAGATTACACTGCTGAGGATGGAGGTGTACGGAGGGGAAAAATAGGCCCCGCAGCTTCTCTTTGAGAGGGCAAATGAACACACCAGCACAAACGCACACAAAAAACAAACTCACAAACACACACACATACATACATACAAATACAGCTTGTGTCCCCGCCGCCTGTACCTTGTCTGAGCTTGCAGGCGTGATTAATCCAGTGCAGGGAGGGAAGATTTTGACCCTAAACAGAAAAGTCCTGTTGAAGCTGCAGGAGGCACTGATTTATTTGGGTACCACTCCATCCACATTAATTATCCCCATGCAGGTGCAGGCCCAAATTCCTCTTTCCCCAGCTGTAGCCCTACTGTGGTACACACACAAACATACACAGACACAAATAAGAGCGAGTCTATGTAGCCTGCCCCCATTGCCTTGCCCAGGATGTGCTTACAGTCTGGGTGGCACCGAGAACACTGACTGTCACCGTGTGTGAAGAATTGGGCATCCGGATATAGCACAGACACAAGAAAACTAACAAAAAGCAAGCTGGAATACACTCACACAAACAGTTCGACTCATGCAGGTCATTGCTTTAGCATTTAACTTGTTTCTTTTTCGCAACCTCCTGTAAACCTTTGGTTTCAATGAGACGATGGAAGAAAAGTACATTTTAAATTCAAGCTCAATGTTTTATTTACTGAGAAGAGATGTTTAGTATTTTAGGATCACATGCCTCATAATATATATGAGAGATATGAGATGTATAGTATATTGTACAGCCAGTATCAGTAACTCAACCAAAAGTCCTTAAACACCAAAGGGGTAAATTAAGAAGTAGCAGTAAGATAAACCACAGCCTACAATATTGAAAAACTGTGAAAAACACTGATTACTATTTGCCAGTGCTCAAAACAACATGTTAGAGAATGAAAAAACACCAGACAAGTAAATGTTAGGGATGCACCGATCTGAGATTTGGATCAGACTGATTTTGACATATTAACTAGATCGGAAATCTGATGAATGACGCCAATCCAGCGCTCCGATCCAGTCTTTTTTTTTCCGTTTAATTAATATCATACACAGCAATACAGCGATTCTGTTCGCTCTATATTCTATGTCTGTCTATCCTTTTGCACTAAATGTTAACATGGAAGTCTTACTTCTTTTTGCTGTGAATTTATATCTGTGTTAATTTGTAACCTTTTTTTAACAAGGCCGGTATACAGTTCAGTCATTCAACAACAGTATCATATCAGTATTGGAAATCGGCCGATATGCTCAGCCCAGGTATTGGTATCGGATTGGATCGAAAAAAATGGATTGGTGCTAGTAAATGTAGTAAGTAATTCCTCTGTTTGCTCAGTTTAACTTAAACTCTTACTCAGGTCTTCTTTCTCCCGCCGTACTTTCCCCTTCTTTTAGTCCTGTTGTGAAGGTAGTGTCCTCAGGTGACACCAGGCTGAGAGTTAACACCTCCCTGTATCTGTGCAAGTGTGTGTGTGTGTGTGTGTGTGTGTGTGTGTGTGTGTGTGTGTGTGTGTGTGTGTGTGTGTGTGTGTGTGTGTGTGTGTGTGGTGCAAGCAGTAACTCCACCAACTGTGCTTTTTCCTTTCGGGGCTACAGTGGTGTGTGATGTGTCACTGAGCGCTCCAGTCATTATGGCCTACATTAGCACCCTGCCTCGCCCTGATTAGTCCCCTGCTAAGATGAAATCCACCATCTAAGTGTGTTTGTGTGTGTTCTGAGTGAGGGAAGGAGAGAGAGAAAGACCTTTCCACCATCTCAGTGATAGCTTCTTCATTTCTCTAATACAAATGTCAGTCGATGCTGGTCCGCATGCATCAGGAGCTTAGTCGTGGGCCCCATCACTGCTCCTCCGTGGCTCTCATTTATCACCTAATTTGTTTGCACTCTTATCTACGGCCTTGCCCTGCTGGCAAATCCATCAAACACACACAGACACAGATGGGTTGACATACACGCGTCTGCTGGCTGACTGTCAGCACCTTGCCTTCCTGGACATCACTGCACATACATCCTCAACTAGCCTCATGTTTGCATGACCCCTCGTATGCTTATCTCTCTGCCAACATATCTGCCCCTTAAACACACATGCACATTTGTAGTTCAGATGCAGATTTCTCCCACTCTTCTTTTGATCCGTCACTCCAATCTATCACTGTCATTGTTTCTCCGCTTGATGTCTTCCTTTTCTCTCACTTTCACTCTACCGACAAATCCCCCAAGAGGACTGGTGTGAATAAGAGCGTGGAATTGATCAAATCCTCACACATCAATATCAGTCAATACGCATAATCTTACAGATTAATCAATCAGTGCTTTTCACAATTGCCTAGACACAGCCTGTGCTATTCCTCAGGGACCTGGGAGTGCACTGTAATGGTAGATAGAAAAACAAAACTCGCTTCAAAATGAGGTGTTCAACAGAGAAACAGCTGTGGAACTTGTAAAGGTGGATTGGTGATTCTATCAGGGGAAGGGACGGAGTTGAGGGTCTTTTGTGAGTCAAATTAAGGCAGACTGCAAAAGCCAGGGAAACCCCGTTAGATCCAAGATGAAAATGCCCATTTTTACCGCAGATTTAAAGATGTTTAAAGTAGAGATAGACTGATCCATTTTTTTCTGATCCAATCCGATGCCAATACCTGGGCTGAGTGTATCGGATGATATCCAATACCGATCCAATACTACTGTTGAATGAATAAACTGTACAACTTGCCCTGTGAGTGAAGGCATCAGGCTTGGCATTAGCCTTGTTAAAAAAAGAATAGACAGACATAGAGTATAGAGCGAACAGAACCGCTGTGTTGCTGTGTAGCTGTGTATGATATTAATTAAAAGAAGAAAAAGACTGGATCGGAACACTGGATCACTCATCAGGCGTCATTCATCAGATATCTGATCCAGTTAATTTGTCAACATCGAAGCCGATATCCGATCCAAATATCGGATCGGTGCATCCCTAGTTTAAAGTTATTTTTGACGGTTGTTTGAAATGTTCATCTCTTTTTATAACTCTTTAATTTGGATTGAATTCAATACAGTATGCTTTTGAGCATTTACACAAGTTGTGTTACGACTGTTCCAGACAGGAAGAAGACCCCCTGCATAGATTTTCTACACTGTCTCAAGGTCACATAATTGACCAAAGCCCATCACCTTCCTGTAAAATGCTACATCTTTTAAGCTATATTTTTCTATTCCATGGACAGGTTAGCCGGAGATAATCAATACTGTTAATTGTGTTTACGGGAGGACTCAGATATACAAAGCATGTCAAGCCATGAGTTATGGGAAATTAACATGTTTACCAAAACCTTGTTGTGTTAATTATTTTTTGTTTTATACACAAATGAAGACCACCGAGACATTTAAGTAATTCATTATATTGATATTTTCAGACACAACAAAAAACTGAGTGCTCACACACACATACACACTCACACAGAGCATATTTGGGGGCCAGCTGCCAGCAAATGAAGGATCTCCCTCCCAATTCACTTGTTATTGTGCTGTCTGGCTGACAAGTATACCTATAGAGTGAGTATTTATTTCCGGAATGTTTTGTTCCGTTTTCCTGCAATGATGAATGTTTCTTTTATAAATCCATCGCCAGGCCTTTTAAACCATAAACAATATTTCTCCAGCCCAGATTCCTTGTGCAGCAGTCTTGGGGAACCTTGAGATTTCCAGGCTCTGATTTAATGGCTCGTAATTCTTGAAAGGCAATCCTTCTTCACCCCTCTGACGCTCAGATGCACCATCCTTCCGGCAGCCCACCGGGCTCTGCCTCTGCTCCCCTCCGGATCCTCAGGACAGTCCAAACGCCAGTTAAAACTACTCAGCTGGAAACAGCATCATGCCCTCTCTGTCACTGGCATTGGATTATCTGCTATTGGCTGACAGGACGGAGAACCCTGTCACTTCTGTCCTTTTTTTCTGCAGATTTGTGGGTGATGCTACTGAAAACCAGGGTTGCTCTTTTGTTTGTGACGGGTTTACTTCAACATTAAGGGTTTTTTTTCCGCTATATGATCCAGTTTCTACAATAATCTTGTATTCTCTTGTCTTTATCATATTTACAATACAAGCAAGTTTGGTGTATGCTAAAATTGCTTTCTTAGTAAACTTTGTAGATGTTCAAGAACTTAAACAGGAAAACTGGGATGAATCTAGTTCATCAAGACACCAATAAAGTAGAAAAAAACTGGTTTAATAACATTAGGATTAAAATGAGTATGCTGAACAAAAGCTAAAAAATAAAATACAAGATGCTTCGGTTTAGTGGACTCAGTCAGTTTTCTTCTACAAAGGCTTCCATTGCTTTCAAAAAGTCTACAATGTGCAGCCTCTGAAGTGACGCATCAGTCTAGGTAAAGAGAAATGATCTTTTGGTTGCACAGGTGTCAGTGACTGTCCTTAAGTTTTGTTTTCAGGATGACAAACAACATAAATATTGTGTTGAATTTCTTCCAAACTCCGCACTGCAGTGAAAAAGTGACTTTCTCGGGTAGAAACTGGTGTACAGAGGGTCAGCACAAAGTTTAACGAGTGTGTGTTCAAGTTACCATGGTTACATGCTGCATCGCCCTATACTACAATTAAATTTTTATATACTAAACAGGTTCATTCGGCCTGTCGATTATAAATTTACAAGATGGAAAGGTAAAAAATAAACATTTTTGTACCTAACAAGTTTCAGCTACTTTGCCTCTGCCGCCTTCATCAGAGGTGTCACGTGATGTTGGTGTGACATCGTCTATGCCGGGGGGAGACCGCCATCCCACCTGAGATGGTGGGATGGCAAAACCCATATAACTCATCACAGACGACGTCACACCAACATCACATGACACCTCTGATGAAGGCTGCAGAGGCAAAGTTGCAGAAACTTGGAAGGTGCAAAAATGTTTATTTTTTACCTTTCTGGCTTTTATAGAGGAACTGTCTTGTAAATTTTTATTTGTTTCATCTCCCACTATACTTATCACTGTAAGTTTTCATTGATTAATGATTCAGTTTCTGTTGTTTGCAATAAAAGACTTAATTTCATATGGTCAGATCAACAAGAAAAATAACAAACCAAAACCACTGACACAAATTATAGAAAATATAATAAAACCACATAAGAATATAACATAATATTAATATACAAAGTGCATTTTGCACACCTAAATGCTGGTGACTCAACAATGGCATCCCCTAAACTCAAATTTTGTCATCTTGCTCTTAATCGATAAAGTGAACAGTTTCTGTGCAACAAAGTCTCTTCGAAGAAACACAGGTTGCTTTCCTCAGTAATATCTAACAAAACTATATTAAAATATTTGTGGACATATTTTTCCAATCTCTGAAATTAACACTTGTACAAGTTGATGCTGTATCATATTTTAAGTGCGTCCTCCACTGCATAAATTAACTTTGGAGCACATACTGTCCTTTTTAGTGCACCGACATTAAACTGCAGCGGTCTACTTTGGACCTGATCTCACAACTTTGTTTATGTACCGCATCACAAATGACTAAGTCAGCATAGCAGCCCCCCCCCCCCCAGCGGGAAGCACTGACCTATGTAATCCACTGTATGAATGTTCTGATCGTCCCATAGCTCTCTAGCAGTTGCAAAACGAACATCATGGGAAACATCGTAAAGCTGAGTGATGTGTTTCAGTATCAGCATCAACTTTGTGCAACACTGCAGGACATGCTGTTTCATACAGAGGGAACGGTCTTAACTCACAAGAATTATTCTTAAAGACACCTAAATGATAGATATAAGGCACTTGATTATGTAACTGTACATAAACAACATTGTGAGTACCTGGTATAATTTCCTGAATTTTTTTCCCCACAGTATATGTATCCTAAAAAAGCTGCTGCAACGTCAATGTTACAATAAAGTCAGATTTTTTTTTTAACTGATGTAGTGCAGATCTACAGACCAAAGTTGAACCTCTCTAAAAGTTACTTAAAACTTTATTTCAAGAGTGATAGTACGGAGATGAGGCTAAGCTCCTTTTTAAGACGGACAGTAAACATGCCGCAGCAAGTCAACAGTACAAGGAAGAAACAACAACAAGTTAAAAAAGCAATCATTAGGGCTGGTATCTCTAATTGTGTTGCTTCCTCTTCTCATGTATAATCCCTGGTTCCTCGCTTTGCCTTCATTAACAATGGATGAATTAATTAGAAACCTTCATAGGATTTCTGCACAGTGAACCCAGGAGATAAAACACATCCTATCCCTCAGACCCGCTCTTTCCTTCTCTTTTCTCTCCCTCTGCTCTTAATTGTATTGTTTGCTTGTAGTGTCGATAGCAGGATTAATTTCACTATAGATCAGGATTATTGACCTTCTCGTCAATGTTATTTCATTTCTGTAAGGTGCTAATTATAGGGAACAGGGCAAAGCAAATTGCACTGTAACTTGTCTCACTTGCTTTCCAATAAAGCAGAAAGAAAACAACATTAATTCCCTTTTAGCTGCTCTCTGTAGTAAAATAAATTTGAGCACTATTCTCACTGTCCGTCTACCGTCCAAGAAGGACTCTGTTGGCAACTGTTTGACATGATTGGTGGACTTTTTATTCAAAAGACCGTTCACTACCCTGACCCGTACCCGTCCAATGAATGCCATTCTTGTCACACTGACTGCGCTTTTCTCGCTTCTCTCACTTCATTTGCGGGAGGGGGAGGGCACAGTTCATAAACAATTAACCGGCTGGATAAGTGATACACTCAAGCGCTAACAGACCTGAAAAACATTGTGTTATAAATTCTGGTAATTGAGAGGAGGGAGGTGAGCATCAGGCCACTGTGGACGTCATATTATATCGGTAACTAAAAAATCAGGGGGTCTGCAATTTCGCATCATTAACATCTCGTGAAAGAAAGGAGAGGAAAGTAGAAGACATTTTAACACAAATTCATAGTAAACAAGTTGAAAAAACGCTTAACAAAAGCGCTAATTTGCTTCTATTATGTCATTTTAGTGATTGCATCTACTTCTAAAGGTCTACCCAAGTACAGTTTGCCCTGAGACCCTTTTATCCCCCCTTTTCTCCCTATCGCAACCCCTCCCTTCTCCCACAGTCCTCTAATGAACTGAAAGGTCAGAGCACTAATAAAACTATTAGCAGAAATGAATCTCTCAGATGTGTTAATGCACTTTTAATTCCTGTTAGCAAATTTCATCCCCCAGCAGTTTGCTGCCCGCTAATGAGAAATAAAACGCCCCGCTCTGGGGAAGGGGGATGGGGGGGGAACGGGTCGATGCTCCGGCTACTCCTCAGCAGACTCTGTACACACACACACACATACACATACACACACAAGTCTTATACACTTACACTGCACCCTACACACACCCTGGATGTGCTGGATGTTATTCACGGACCGAGGCCTGTTTTCAGCCCTGTGATTCTGCAGGGTTAATTAAAGAGCACATCTCCATCTGTTCTCATTCAGCCTCAGCTCAGTGTCTTCCAATCAAGCACACAAGACTCACACACCTACGCACACACACCACTTACGCGCACACACAAAAGATCACAATCTTTCCTTGGGCGCTCTCATCAATGTAAAAAAAAAAACTTGACAGTAAGGTGTTCACGGGGACATATAAACATGACTTAAGGACATGATGTGGCCTCTCACCCAGCTTGTCTCATGACCTGACTAATGAGATACAGACAGGGCATGACCTCCATGTCTGGCAGCCACCAGAGAATATCAAGCCATTGTCAGGAAGACGACGACTATGTTTGTGTTGGTGTGTCTGTCAGCCTGCTGTCACACGTGATCCTTCAGGAAGTCAAGGTTCAAAAAGTACACCGGGCCAACTTTTTCCCCTCAAGGAGGTGCACATGCGAGCGGAAAAAGGAGAATCACTGCGACTGAAATAATTAATTATTGATCACTATGAATACTTAACAAACTAATGTTCTTTGAACTGCAAGAATAAGCATAAAGACTATCAGTACAAGTTTAGTAGTCGGTGTTAAACTTTGTAGAAACATTTTAAAAGAGAAATATGTCATTTGGACACCCGGCGTTTAAATTAGGTCCAACAGTACAAATTCAAAACATCGCACAGAGCTTTTATTGTCTTCATTTAGAAAAGAACAGGACAGTAGACAAATGTGAAAAAGGGAGAGAAAGTGATGAGTGACGTGCAGTAAAACAACTGAACCTTGGTCACCCTCTTGAGGCATAGGCCAATGGTGCACTTTTACATACTTTTAACAAGGTCATTAATTTGAAAAAAATGATTTATGGTAAACTTAAACAGTTTTTATCATCATCGTTTTTGCATTTCCTGACTTCACTCCATGAACGCAGCACTACGCCTGCACATTATACACAAAAGCGAGGAGTAAATCACCGACAACTCAGCTCTAAAAGACAGCTGCTCCTCATTTATGACTTGATACTATCATGAGCCTTTTGGGAGACAAAAGTCGGCCAAATGATCTGTATCACTGAAAACAGAGAAATCTGGCTTTGCTAAAGAGAGAACAAGAAGCCAAAAGCATGCTCTAAAATTGTACGAGGAATCGTAGACAACTTCAAGCAAGAGCAGAGCCAAGTACATGGATGATGTGCGACATGTAACTCCTGATGTTAAAAGTAGCGATGGTGATTCGATGAATGTGGATGTACCAACAACAGTGAAAGCTCACAGATTTTAGAGAGAGTGGCGTTATAAGGATACAATAGCTGAACAAAGCACTGTGGGACAGAGGCTGCAAGTAACATCTTTCACAGTATATTGGAGTTGTGGTACTCCTTGATTTTGTTTCCTACATTTCTGTGCTAGCAGAGTGAAAAGGCTGTTTTAAGCCCTATTAATGCACTTAGATTAACAAATATCAAAAGAGAAACAAGAAAATTATACCTGAAAATTCGCTGTGGATTGTACAGGGTTTCTGCAGGTTTCAACAAGTCAGACTTTAAGACCATAATGAATGCAATTTAAGATCCAACTTATATCCATACTGGCAAAAAAAGTACAAAAGACATAAAAGGGAAATGGAAACATTTTAAAGTAACTTAAAAACAATCTGTATTTGTAAGTAACATCAATACATTTTTAAGACCTTTCAAATTTCTATTTAAGACATTTTATGAGGTTTTAAGAGAATTTTAGAAACTTTAAAGCCTTAAATTCAAATTATGGGTTTTAGACGTTTTAAGATTTTGAAGACCTGCAGAAACCCGGGCAATCTGATTAGTGGAATAATGACAAAGATAAGCTGTGTCAAAAGGTATAAATCAAAATTTGTGAAGGGACTGACTGATTAATTATAAAGCATTCACACAGCTCTATTACACTTCTGTCTAATAGTGAGCATTTCTTTCATTGTCGTTTCTTAATATAAATAAGTGCAAAACAGTATGACTGTAATGCAAAATGCTATAACTGAAGTTGCAGTCACAATATCAAAAAGAGCTATTAAGATAGTTGCTGCTGTGTCCTATACAGGTTGACTCTAGGTATGAAGAAGTTACATTTAAGACTTTTTAAGACCTTTTTAATACCAACTTAAAGAAACTTTGAGACCAAACTTGCGATGGAAATACAGATTAAAGTGAAAATATATTCTTTTACAATTAAAGGCAATGATGTCAGTTAAAAATGTACAATAAGAAAAAAAGGAAATAACAAAAAATGAAAACCAAGATGGGTTGCAAGGAGGCAACACAGACTCATTGCATCATGTGATCTAAATGCCATGGCGAGATGAGATGGGACAAGAATTGCGTTTATCCGTGCTTACTAGAAATTCTCACAGCAAAGTGACTAAAGCACATTTAAGACCTATCTGACCTGAATTTAAGACAATTTAATACTTTTTAAGGCCTTTTATTTGTAAAAGATGTCTTTCAGACTTTTTTTAGACTTTTTAAGGACCCGTGGTCACCCTGATTAAGCTCAATTATTTGTAATTCTGCAGGACTCTCGCCACTTCTACATGGTGTTTGGTTCAGCCAGACTGTCGAGTTGAAATACTTTCAGAAAAACACCAATTCTTTTACCCTAGGATGAAAAAATAAAAAGACAAAGGAAAGCAAAGAAAGACCCCGAGGGGAGGGCCGGAGACATTCTATTACCAAACTCAGCCTTTTAATCAATAAAGAGATAAAAGATATTTTAATCAAAGACATATTTCCTTGTTTGTCTAATGCTTCTGCCGCCACCGTGCACATAATCTTTAAACGCTGAAAAGGATGCATAATGCTCTCCCAGAGAGCCACTCATCCATATAAACACAAAACCGAAGCAGTCAGCAGAAACACACACCAGCCCGGCCCAGCGCGCAGACACTCCATAGACGCCAAATTACATTAGGATGGGCATATTAAGGGGAAATTGCATCCTGTAAACTAGAATATTATTTCTACACACAAACACAATGCTTGCACACACACGCACACACAAACCATTTTTCAACATCATATTCCCCAGCCCCTGTGCTCACTATTCAGTAACAGATCCATACAAGCGTTGTTTTGTGCATGAACACACACACAAACACAAACCATGAAACAGAAAGCGCTGTGCTATTAGTGTGCGGGCTGTTTGTCGGACATGCAGGCATCCGTTAGCCTTGGCTAAAGCATTTCAATGAGATTAGAGGGGTAACCGGAGCTCATCCAGGCCCACTGAACTGAGCTCATGCCGGGCTAACAAGTCCAGAGGTGGTGGGCAGGCTGGATCAGGTTCCAGGAGCTAATGGGTCAAATACCCGCTGACACTTAATTGAGTGATAAAGTGTGCACATTTAGATGTGCGGGTGGGTAAACGAGTGTCTCTGTTTTTGTGCGAATAATTCACCTTTATATTTCAGAGTAAGAGTTTCTTTGTTGTTGTTGTATTCGCTGCGTGGATGCTTGTGTGTTTAGATGTGCGCACATGTGTGTGGTCTCTGCTGGTCCACTTCTTACAGAGCATCAGTTTGCACATGTCTGCCGTGCATTGGGGAGCAAACAGCGGCTCCAGTAATGGTGATTCATGCTTTCCGTCAGGCCCCCTGACAGGCAGGGTTCGATCCCCTGCTCAGCGCCCTGTAGCGGCAGTAACAGCAGCCGAGGCGTGCGGAGGACCCCCGGACATCATCATAACTGCTGAGGTAGTGTAGGGCTGCTGACATATTGATCGACCCTCAGTTAGGAGATTTGATAGATTGACCTAGGACTCTCGACTTTAAACAGTGAAAGGAAGAGGGCGAGTCGGGAAGTCAAGAAAACAAAGAGACAAAAAGGGTAAAGGGTGAAAGAGAAACGACCATGACTCATGATCAGCTCAACTTTGTCACCGTCAAGATAATTACTACTTGGGTAAATATTTGAGAGGCTGTAAACAACAATTTCTCTTACGAAACTGTACTGATGCGTGATTATCATCGATATTTGGAACAAATTTAACATTAACTGTCTTACTGATCAAAATGTTTAAACAATCAATCCAGATTCAACCAGGGTAACCCAGAAATTAAACACAGTAGATGTTCAACTTTCTTCTTGCTTTCTTTAATCACCTCATTCAAATCTCATAACCAGAATAATGTTTTTTTTAATCGAGAATGAGCTAAAAAGATGAGGCAAAACATCCATGAGATATCATTTCTTTCTCTCTGCCCTCATACCAACAGCGCTCCAGCGACTCATCAGACCATCAGGCTAAGCCTAACCCCTCGCCTCCTTCACGCCCTTTGGGAATCTGGGGCCAGGAAGGAGCAGAGAGGGTACAAGCTCACACTAACGACGGAGGAAACTGTGTCCAGTCGGCTAGAGCCTGAGATGGAGCAGAAGACCCTGCGCCATTGTTCTGCCAACATGCTGACAGCCTGTGATTTAGGACCGGGGCTGCCCAGGAGCGCTAAGGGAGGGACAGGAGCAAGGGAGGTCAGAGAGAGGCTCCACAGGCACCCTTCAACAATCCTACCCGAATCCCTCCATCCATGAGATGGCAGGATGAATCATGGCTTACCCAGTGCGAGGCCTGAGCCTGGCCTCTCTCTACCACCCCCTATCCCCTCCATCGACCCCCACCTCCCCCTGGACAAACATGACAAATCTGGTGTTTATTTACTTAAAAAGACCTGCAGAGAGAGCAAAGGGGGGCAGATAAAAAACACAGTAAAATCAATACAGAGTTAGTAGTTCCTGCCCTACTGCTGCTCTTTCCTGTGTGTGCGGCTACACAAACCTGCGCTTGGGTCTAATAAGGACCCCAGGTGGAAAAGGGACGCAGGTGGCTACAGCGGGCTCCACATAACTGCAGGGAAATATGAAGGGGGAGGGGGCCAGTGGAGAAAGAAGAGCTGTGCCAAGTCCAAAATGGACTTTACAGCTAAAAAGGAGATGATCTTGGACTTAACCAGAACTGCTCGACTTCACTGACAAAATAAAATATGGCCTCTGGAATAATAACACTTGCAAGTTTTCATGCACAGTCTTTAGAGACGAACTTCTAGATTTTGAAATATCTGCTGTGAATAAATTTTGATGTAATTTGGGAGTTTCTGTCACACAAAGTCTTCTTATGAAGAACCGTAAACAATGTTAGACATGGTCAGTAGGTCACAAGCTGCACAGATTAAGGCTTGTTCATACTGCAGAGTGTCAGTGCGAAGGAAGAGGGTGGAGAAAGGCCTCTTGTCCTGGTAAAACAGACATCCAAAACAGCAAATCAGCAAACTAGGCAGGCTGGGAACATCATCGAATGCATCCTTTCCAGTATTCTGATTTTAAGAAGAGGCCAAGAGTTCATACTGGTTCAGTCTCACAACAAACAATGAATTCACATCTCTTGTTCAGGCCGTATAGCCAAGACTTGTTCGATAAATTGAAAACCCTGCAGCAAACAACCACCCGGAAAAAAACACAGCAATTTGGATCTACAGAAAATGTAAAGATTGGCAATGCTTGCAGACTAACTCATGAATGTCAAAATCAAAACTATTCAGTTGCTATTTTGTGACGATCCAAGCCAATTAGTTTGATTTTGCAGAAGTGCTGGTTTGATACAACGAATGATGTGATCCTGCACCACAAGTTGGGTCCTGTCCTTTCTCAGCGCTCTCTCTGGTATTGATAAAAACTAGTTGTGTTGCAACTCTGACTTTTTTACATAGCAGTCCTTTCTGCTCAACATTCCTAGACCTGACTCCAAAACATTTCCATTGATTATGGCCAAAAAAACAACAACAAAAAACTAATACAATCAAAACTACTTTTACCAACACTGAAGTCAGGGTTATTTAACATGGTTACTCATGAAATGACAGCTGCATTACATGTTTTTGCTAAACTTTAAACTTCTTAAAAACTTGATCAGCCCAAATCCTTTGAAAAACACATTTATGATGAAAAAAATACAATTTTAGTTTTAGGTGTCTGTCTACCTGTATCATATCAATTCATATGCAAACCATAGGCAAAGGTACGTAAAGGGACCAGATACTGCATCAGTACTTGATTTCACTTTAAGTGCTTTGACTTAATTTTGATCAAAATAAATATTAGATGGCAGACTTTCACTTGTGGGAGAGACTTTTTTTACACTTTGTTAAAAGAATCTGAAGAATATCAGCTCTTTTAGCACTAGGCTACATTTCATCACAGGCTTCAAATCCAACATACAACCCAGCCTTTTCAAGCGCTAATCATTATAATGTGAAGATTATAGCAATACAGACCAATGTCACTCTTTAGCCTGGGAGTCAACAACTTGATAGCACTTGTACTCACTACAGCCTGTCGTCTGTCCAGACTCTCTCCTCCTGTTCCTCTCCCTACTCACCTCCCTCTACCTGTGGCTACATAATAGTTAGTATCACTGCAGCACATGTCAAAGATACGGCAGTCCACAACTAACCCTAGTGCTGCAGAAGTTCATCTGTTCCAGACCTGTTGCAGATTGGCAGTGTGGAAAAGGCGACTGTAAACAATGAAACCTGCTCTAATGGGATGAGGAGACTGCTTTTTGATGAGTCTGCAAACTGCTCTGCTCTCACCAGGATGCAGTCTAGATGTTGTCGCTCAGAAACCAGTGCATTACTTTTATTACCAACCACTGTGGGTGCATTGGTGTTGTCAGGGGACGACTAAATTGTTACAAAAAAATATTTTCAAACCAGCGATGATGTCGTTGCGAAGTCCTTGTTGCGGCAGACTGTAACCATAGTGGCAGTATTGAAGTGAGTTCCACTTGCAGTTATGTAGTTGCCCATATTAACATCGAGGCTACCACTCCAATTCGTTTCATTGTGCAGCACTAGTTTTTTGGGGTGTGAGGTATAGTTCTGGTGTGGTGACTAGCAATAAGGCGTATTATGCAGTATCTACTGGCATTTGTATCATAACAGCTCTACTTGCTGACCGTTGAATGGTGATATAAAGGAAAAAACACAACAGCCAAAGTCTGAGCTGTGGGTGATGTATGTGCACAGCCGGAGAGATACGAGATAAAATTGGTCTACAAGTTGGAGTCCAGACAGCAGAGCATTGAATCTGCAAAGCCTCTGCTCTCGCCACATGACAGGGACAAAACAGATAAGGCTTGCTCTCAAGGGAGAGGGAGGGTGGCCATCACGCCAACCCCCTAAAAAGAAATAGCACCAGCGAGCTGTCAAGGTTTCTGTCACATCCTACATCAAGTCAGCCTCCTGGTCCATCCCATTGCTGGCAAACCATGCAGGCAGTTGTGGCCAAGGATGAAAGTGCTGGAAAATGGGAGTCATTGTAAACCATTTTCTGCCCTGGAGCCCCCACCGCCACCACCACTATCCCCTCCATCTCCACCCCTCTTCCTCCCGACTCTTCTTGAAGACAAATGGGTCCAGGGCAATGACAGAGTGCCTGGTCCACAAATCACCGGCGGCCAGTCTGCTCGTCCACTGCTTCCTCCTCCCCCGCTGCCTCCCCCTGCACCCAACCTCGCCCCCTCCTCGTCCCTGGCTCCTCCATTAGTCATGTGCACACGGGCAGCAGCCAGCAGCCGTAATTAGACAAGGACAAATCGCCAGCCACGGACACGGACGGGTCCGGCCGCTAAATAAGGCCCCGTTTCCATACCGACCAGTGGGCGGTAGAGCCAAGGAGAGGACCGGGGTGTGAGAGAGAAGAGCAGGGAGGGGTTGGTACTGTCCTGTGATCCTCTTGGCCCAACCTGGCCTGGCACCTTCATTTATTATACTACAGCTCACAAACTAACATACACCTAAACCCCATCCCTAGTAGGAAGGTCCATACTGGTCTTACTCTTACCCCCTTCAAAGAAAAAGGCCTGTAATATATTTGGAGCGAGTTTGAGGTCCTCATAAACATAGATATTAATTTCATGAATATTAAATTTTGTGCTCACTTTAGTCAAAGTGCTGAAAGAGTAAAATTTGAGATGGTATAGTTTTCTATACAGCTTCTGAACACGGCAATCCATCTTTCAAGACAGGGGCCAGACAGAAACCTCATACAACCCTCTATCACATTCCTGACAATGCAATATCACTACGTCACTTGTTTTTGTGGTGGTCAGAGCAACTCGTAATAAATAAATTAAGTAAGCAAAGCAAAGCTGGAGCAATGAAGAGCAATAAAGAGGTTTCAGGGTACATTAGGTGTAACATTAGAAGGATGGAATTAGCAAAAATGAGAACTGATAGAATCAGATTACACAAGACGAAGAAACCGGCAGTCAACAAAATATAAATTACAGCCATATGAGGGTAGAGCCGGCTAAATCCACAGAGGAGTATCAGTAACAATTGCTTTGGCCGGGTCAGAGCTGCAACACACTCCCTGGGCAGAAGGGGGTCGACGAAAAACTGACCGCACGCTCCCCACCCACACACACACTCACATACACAGAGAGAGAAACACACACGAATAGCATGCTCCACCAGAGCAACTCTTATTGATCTGCCTCCTAATTTCCTAATTAGTTTTTTATTGGATTTCATAATCGCCATCAGGACACATCAAAAGAAACTCAAAACCCCAGCAAGATTTTCTGCCCTACTCAACATAATTTTTCTCAAAACTGGGAAAAGGAAGCCGTATATTCAATTCCAAGTCCCCAGATGTGAGAGCAACCCTGTTTTTTTTTCTCCCCTTAAACTTCTCCACCAGAACTCCTTGGACAGCAAACACTGCACAAAACACATTTCTCCCATGTGCAGTAACTGATGTTTAGCATTGCACATTTTCTGCATGATCTGCTGCTATTTGTCACACTTCTGCACTCTCCAGTCACTCTCACTTGTAGAACTTGTTAAACATACTGCAGCAGCGGGCACAAGAACGAAGAGATAGAAGAAACAAACAGACACCGACTCTGGTGGTCATCGGGTGTTTGGGGGGTTTCCACTCACTTCTTCTAAGTCCTCACAGCCTATGTAACCTCTTTGTCACAAACAAAAAATCTGAGCTATTCAGTTTATGACACTGCTGGCCAGTATTCACTATTGCTCAACACAGGAAGTGTCCCTCTGAATCCTGTGAATAGCAGAGCTTCTCACACATCAACATGCTGAAAGATCGAACGGCTTGCAGAAAACAGAACTTTCAAACAACCTTAACAGCTGGCCGGTGGTTACTCCACACTCCAATGTTTTTATAGTGTTACATATGCTTTGCAATGCTGAAAGACACACGGAGCAGACAAAGAACAGCCAATATCGTCTTCCACATAAGGGGTCAGATAGTGTGCTGTGTTGACACCTCTTAAAGGGATATTCCGGCGTAAATTTAAATTATAGTCAAACACACCATAATACCGAGTTAGACACCCCTGTGAGAGATGAATGTTGCCGACTGTTTGGTTCTCTTGTTCTACAAACTTTAGTGACGACCACATGACAGCAATACACAGCAGTCTACCACTCCAAGCATAAACCTCAACCAAAAAGCCACTCTATAGGTCCTTACACACCAGGCGCGAATTCGCCAAGCGAATTATTCGCCTTTTTTTAAAACAGCTTAAAGTCAATGCAAGCTTCCACACCGGCTGCGATTTTTCCACGGGGCGAAAAGCGTCTTTTATTTTTTCGCTCGTGTCGAATTTTTCGGATATTCGCAGGCAAATATCTGGACCTGCTAGACCTCTGGCCAATCAAAAGTCATGTTGTTGATGACATCACAGACCCATACGGCTGGAGGAGAGGGAAAAGTTTGAGATTATGAAAACGCAGAGAAAGACAGCTGAGGTGCATCCAAAACTCTTTCTAATTACTAATGAAGTAGTTTTCTCACAAGATGACACTCTCTTGTCTTCCTTAGAAGACAGATGTCATGCACACTTCACAGGGTGATTGCCTCATCATGCCTGATTCTCCTTCTTAGCTGTTTGACATACCGATGATCTGCAGCTGAAGGGCCAACAGAATGACCAGACAACTTGAAGGATCACTGCTCAGCCCTCGCCTCTCCTGGCTGCTGCGGTGTCTCTCACAGCTTTTCTTCCTCTTTC